TTCCTCTTAGATAAACTGTATAACAGTTTAATGCTCCACAAAGTGAAGATACCCTGAGAATTGTTGGTGAAAAGATGTAATATAATGTAATATAGTATAATACAATGTAATGTAATAGTTTTGCTATTACATTATAATTAATATCATTTAGTTTACCTTTGGCTCACATCACATTTCTTCTCTGTGAGCACTCTCTACAGTGTCTTTTACTGTTCTTACTTTCCAATTAAGTATTAGTTTCTGTCTTACATTTACATTATGTCTTGCTATTTGTTCAGGCCAGCCTAGAAACACTTACTATACAATATATATTATATATTTAACAGTCACGTGCAACAGGAATCTTTTTTCTTGAATTTCTTTTCCTTCTCAAGAGTGAGAGGGTGTGTGTGTGTGTGTGTGTGTGTGTGTGTGTGTGTGTGTGTGTGTGTGTGTGTGTGTGTGTGTGTGTGTGTGTGTGTGTGTGTGTGTGCGCACGTGCGCGTGCATGAGAGAGACAGAGAGAGAATTGGTTTGGTTTAGTTTAGTTTGATTTGTTTCTTGCTTGGATTTTGCTTAGAAAGAGAGGGACCTAGCAGATAAAAATCAAAATAAATATGTCACTTCTTGAAAATATTTGCCACGTCATTCATTAGTACCCCAGTATTGGATTTGAGCAAATTGTACCTATGAAGAATATGTTCTAGGCCTGTATTTTCAGGTATGATACTCTAATATCCTGTTCCATGCTCTTCAGAATAATCAGACCTAAAAGACAATGTTTTTGTCCTTCCTGTGGTAGTGTTTTTGTTCTTCCTGTGGTAGTGTTTGCTCTTAGGCAAACATAGAGAGCATTCTGTTCAGCCAGCAAAGTGCAGTTCCCTCTCACTAAGAAAATTACTGTCACTGAGATGAAATACAAGATCTGGAAAAGCCAGTTTTCCTTGATTCACAATTCTGCCCAAGGGAGATTTGTTCATTATTTAGTGTTTTGAAAGCCAAGGGAATTGAAAAATAAATAAATTACCTACCAACCCATGCAATTTCATTTCCCTCTTGTACTGTTACCATAGCAACTTAGCATCTCCCTCCTCTCTGGTCCAACTACATGTGCTGTGTTGTTGTAGCAGCCTCCCCTCAGTCCCCCAAGAATTGCCTTTGTCAGGAATTTTTGAGCGGGAAGTTGTTGGTGCTGTAGCCTCTTGAGGAACTGTTTTTGTCTCAGAATCCATTCTCTTGCTAGGCAAGCACTCTACACTTGAGCTAGGTCCCCAGCAAGTTTTCATTTTTCAAATGAAGACCATAGGATTTTTGGTTATGTTTTCAGACCTGGAGTTTGACTCCGGGCCTAGAGCTTGCTAGGCTGGTCTTCTTCCACTTTGAGGATAAAATGCTATGATGATTCCTGAGTTTACTTCACAATCAAACAAGCAAGGGAGAAAAGGCTGGACTTAGATGAACTGTGACTGATCTTGAGGTAACAAATAGTTACTTTTTAAACTGATGAAATCAGCAAAAAATGATTTCTAATGGACAGTATGCCTCAGAGGATTTGATGGTTGAAATAGATTTTATTCTTCACCAAACATTTTGCATGTAGTATGTATATAACATTGTGCTTTGAGGAAGATCATGTTCAAGGACAAAGGAAGTAAGCTGAAATAATTATTTGTTCACGTGACCAGAGTTTGAAATGTTTACACATATTATTCTGGAAACCTTTGAGAGAAGATGTAAGAAACAATTTTAACTTTTCAGTTCATAGAAAACAATCGTAGCGCTGTATGGATGTGTGAAATGTTTCTTCAAGGTGAAAGGAAAAGATGACTAGTATGTTATTTATCTTTTGAGTTTTATATCATGTTTGTGGTCATGTTTATGGGTTCCTGTGTTTTCTTTTGTTAGCGAAGCACTGTCACCACTTGAAAGGCAGCTTTACTTTGGTGTTATAAAAGCAAATATTTTAACAGCATAAAAGGCAAAATATTTAAACCTGTGCAAGGAATGTGCTAATCAGGTCCCAAAATGTTTGTGATTCAGATTTTCTTTTCTTAGGACAAATTTATTCAACACAAAGTAACCCCTTCTGACTATATTGTGCTGAGTCTCTTGAGTTACTTGCTGGAAGCCTTCCACTCTTGGGAACACCATTGCCAAGGGTGACTTTTGTCTTCTTTAGCCAACCTCCTGATGCTCTCCTTGGGGACGTACTTGTAGAAATGTCGTCAGAAAACCTGTTTCTTATATGGCCTGGAGACTTGAGAGATTATATGGCTTTCACAACCTGAAAGTTGGGTACCCAACTTGTCTACCAGCTCCAGGCACTTGTCATATCAATATCCACTTGGCTACCATCAGTTTCTTCTTCAAAAGCAGTTCATGGGTAGCAATCCAGTTTCTCTTGGAAGTCAACATCTAGTGCAGATTCATGAGCTCTTTCATATGGTCACAGGGGTGCTGAAGGAGGAAAAGCTTCTGGCCCCAAACCAAGCACTAAAGCCCTTGCCACCCTTAAACTCCTTTCCCAAATGAAATCTCAGAGTCAGATGGTCAACCCAGAGTCAAGGAAAAAATGTGCAGGCTGTGGCACATTGTCAACCTAGCTGCCTTTGGCTGGTCCCCACCACTTCACTCCCCCATCCAACAATAAATGTTGTCTATCTTGTGCCCACATCTCCTCTTGCTGCTTAGAAATAGGTGTATGAGGAGGAGGAAGGGGGAGTCCTCCCCTAGCCGCCCTGGGGAAGACGGGAGAGGCCTGGGATGCTCTGGCTTCAGATTGTATTTTCAAGGAATATTAATACTATGGAGATACTTTTTAGTAGATTCGAAACAGAGTGTACCTGCTTGCACACACAGTACAATGGTTAGGCTCACATTCCAGTCTGTTCACCCAGTCTAGAATATCTCAATATATTGAATCAACTTCCAGTACAATTTTAGATTGATTATCCTTAGTGTAAGTTTTTGTTTTATCAATTGGAGAAGTCATCGAATTGGGGAACACAGAAGCCAGGGCATGTATGAAAACTTCTCCAGAGGGCTTGGGGTCACTTGGTTGGTAAACAATGAACTCTCCACATCCCCATTTCCCTACCTCTTCCCTGACACATAGGCTTGCTGCAGTCCTAGAGGAGAAAGAACTCCAACTCTTACCCATAGGGACCAAGGGTACAAAACCCTGTGAGTGGGAAGAAGCAAAAGGGAGGATGGAAAGTATTACTGCCATATTGACAGCTGCAGGCCGCTGCATGGTTGAATAAACAAGTTCTTTCACATATCAGATGGTTATAAACACACTGCGGGCAACCGAAACAAAGTACTTTATGGAGTTGTCCTATGATAGATCATTGAAAAGAGTTTAGGGCCAAATATTATTAAGTTGGCATTTCATATTATTATATTATTATTGTCATATGGAATTCAAATGAGTTCAGGCAGCTGATGATGATGCTGCAAAAAGCTGTCTACTCTGCAAACAAGCTTTCTCATCACTTGCATCTATAAATGCAAAAATTGGGGGTGGTCTGGAGATTGAAACCTGACTCATTCTAACAATAAAGAGGACTCAATAACAGATGATGAACTAGTTGTGAAAACTGAAACTAACTAAAATAGGATTTTTAACAAATCATGTAAAAATCATAAAAGAAGAGGCAACAATGCTGGATAAGAAATGTACTTGTTATCTTGCCCATGTAATTGTAAACCCTCTATGGTATTTTCACAATAAAAAAATCATAAATGTATTCTGGATATTTTAGTCAGTTATGTTTCAGTGGTTATAGAGAGAAATCTAATCAGAAATGGTGGGGTTTTTTGTTTTTTTATTTTTGGGGTTTTTTTTTGTCGGTCATGGGGCTTGAACTCTGGACATGAGCGCTGTACCTCAGCTCTGCAGCTCAAGGCTAGCACTCTACCACTTGAGCTACAGCACCACTTACGGTTTTTTCTGGTGGTTTATTGGAGATAAGAGTTTCAAGGACTTTCCTGCCTGGGCCGGCTTTGAACTTCGATCCTCAGATCTCAGCCTCCTGAGTAGCTAGGATTATAAGCGTGAGCCACCTGCACCTGGCTTTCAGACATATTTTTGATAGCGACATGTTCTCAGAAATTTTCACAAATTTATGTTCTTTTGTGGTGAGACACATGAAATGGTAATCAATACATACTCAAGCATAACATTATATCATGAAAAAATAAGTGTGAGAAATAGATACAAAAATACAAAAGGGACAAGAATCCAAAAATGCAAAAGGATAATATAAAATGCTACTACAAATTACTATTAACATGTTTCTGTGTTTTTCAAATTATTTGTAGTAGTTAGATCCTAAACTATATATTTTGCAACTACTTAAATTTGTGAAAGAAAAATAATTTTTTTGTTGTTGTTTTGCCAATCCTAAGGCTTGAACTCTGGACCTAGACACTGTCCCTAGGCTCCTTTGCTCCAGGCTGGCATTCTACCACTTGAGCCACAGCATCACTTCTGGTTTTCTGGTGGTTTATTGGAGATAAGAGTTTCATGGACTTTCCTGCCCGGGCCGGCATTGAACCATGATCTTCAGATCTCAGCCTCCTGAGTAGCTAGGATTATAGGTGTGAGCCACGGGCTCCTGGTGAAAGAAAATTCTTTCTCATCTTAAAAATAGGAAATTCTTCCATGTGCTAGTGGCTCACACCTGTAATCCTAGCTACTCAGGAGGCTGAGGTCTGAGGATTGAGATTCAAAGCCAGCCTGGGCAGGAAAATCTGTGATACTCTTATCTGTGATTCACTGCCAGAAAACTAGAAGTGGTAGAGTGCTAGCCTTGAGCAGAGGAGCTCAGGGACAGAGCCCAGGCCCTGAGTTCAAGCCCTATGACTGATAAAAAACAAAAACAAAAATTCTGAGATATATGAACCAATGTTTGAAGCTCCCTAGTCTGCAGAGTATATGCCATGCTGGGTCCTAAGAAGTACTAGGCATTTCTACAGTTGACCAGTAAATCTAACTGAAGATGTCCCTTGGTTCTCAGGATGGTCTGACGCCGCTGCACTGTGGGGCAAGAAGCGGCCATGAGCAAGTTGTGGAAATGCTGCTTGATCGAGCTGCGCCTATTCTTTCCAAAACCAAGGTAATGGATTTCCTCCACAACACACTGCATTTACATTCGAATCGCCTTGCTGGTTATGTAACTGAATCACACAGGAAAAATAATAATAAGTTCAACTTAGCAAATAAAGAAACTTTGTGTATTCACTTTTGGAGACACTCGAGATAAGTTTGGGTTCATAAAGCCTCCGTCCTGTACCACAAAATCACTTTTGTATGGGTCATTTTTGTTCTATTTCAAAACACTGTTTTGTTCTACTCTGTGAAGTTTATATAGTTCAGAACTGATTGCTCGTGAGATTAAGAAAAATGAAAAGATGCACCCTCCAAAAATCTGTGTTATCTCGTTCTCCAATCTCTTATTTTCTGTTTTCTGTCTTTCTCCTTTCCTCTCCCCTCCCCTCCCCATCCCTCCCCTCTTCTTACCTCCTCTCCTCTTTTCTATAGCAATTTTATTTGAAAGTGAAAAGAAAGCTGTGAAATTAGTAGACGCTCAGTTGGGAGAAGGGCCCCAAAGAAAAGTTCAAGCCTCGTAGTTTATTTCCTGAGTTAACAGATTTGGGCTAGGCATGTCGCTCAATGGTAGAGAGCTTGGCTAGCATGCAGGAGGCCCTAGGTTTGATTCCCAGTGTCAACAATAGGAGAAAGATTTTATAGACTATTAGAAACTGAGACTCCTACTTGGCTGATCAAGACGGAAAATTTTGGAAACGTGGACATTGAGTGGATTTGGGTGAAAGTCGAAGTGTATCTGAAAGGGACACACAATAATTTCCTGGAAGAAAAAAAAAAGGAAAAAAGTAGCTTTTGAGTTTTTGGTTTTGTTTTTTATTTTGAAATAGGGTTCTACCAATCCAACCCAAGCTGACCTCAAACTCACAATCCTCTATACCAGCCTCCCCAGTATGTGTGTACCATGGTACCATTTCTAAAAAATTGTCTTTGTCAATATTGTTTAGGATTTTCTAATATAAAGCCTTCTGACATTGTTTGGAAAACGTAAATAGTTGCAAATAAATTTTGAGTTGCACAAACTTCCACAGTCATTACTATTTGAATCGACTAAATCGGTGAACTTTGGGTGTGAGTTTAGAGAGTGTCTGAATTTGTAAACATTTTTAAAGTAACTAGATCACACGTGATTGCCCTTTATCCTCTGATCAGCATCTCCTGAACCACTCAGGGGTGTGGGGTCTGAACAGTTTCATCATTCATTTGACTTGCAGGGCTTAGATTGGAGGACCATTGAGCGTCTTACCTAATAGAATTAGCATCCACCAAGTTCTTGTTGGATATGATCACCTATTGGCCTTTTCAGTGCTTCTCCTTCTCTTTCTTGTGCCTATCTTCTTCTACTGCCCTTCTGAGCCATGTTGTCTTAGTCACAAGTCCCTTCACTTCCCTCTGACTCCTTCATAATCCAGACTCCCACTTTGCACTTCTTGTCCAACACATCACATCAACCTTCCAGTTACAACAAACTTATCCAAGTAACACCATCATTCTCTTTAACATCTGTTTTCATTTTGTCAAATCAATACACAGATAGCTAAAATCAGATACTTATCCTTTCTCTCCCATTCTTCTTCTCCTTATTGATTTGGTTATTTCCTGGGGATTTCCTTTATGCTTTCCAATCTCTCTCTCTCTCTCTCTCTCTCTCTCTCTCTCTCACACACACACACACACACACACACACACACTTAATAGAGTTTCAAACTTGCAAGTAGATGCACCAGCACCTGAACCATGCCCTCAGCTCACTCTCTTCTTTAGTTCAGGTAGAGTTTCGTGGGGTTTTTAGCCTGCCTTAACTGGACCTCAATCCCCCTACTTCTGCTTCCTCCATAGCTGGGATGACAGGCATATGTCACCATAGCCAATTTTTCTAGCTAGCTTTTGTCCTCTGGATGGCCTTAAACCACATTCTTTCCATTCTCTGCCTTCTAAGTAGCTGGTATTAAAAATGTGAATCACTGCGCCTAGCCAAGAATTCTCTTCTCATTTTATGGATGTAGTGTTTTTCTCTTACCTATCTGACAATATTCAAGATGGCATTTTAATCCTATTTTGCTCCTCTGATGTCCTTCATTCCTAAGAGTCCTCCTCTCTTCTCTTTTCCTCACCCTCTCCCTCTCCTTCTCCATCTATATTTTCTGTTAGATGATTCCCACAAATGTCTGTTTCTGGTCAGGCTTCACATGTGTGTGGAAGCTGTGTGAGCGTGTAGTACGTGGAGCTGATGGTCATGGGCACTGGCATGGAGAGGACTCCAATGTGTAACTTAGCTGCCCTTTCATTGGGACAGAGCACCTTCTGCCTGCTCTCCACTTCTCCTCCTTTACCATCCTCTAGCCGCTCCACCTTCTTTACTTCCTAGATACCAGGTTTGTTTTCATTAGGTGTATTTGTTTTTTGTTTCACAAGAACACCAAACATACTTTATTAGCACAAAAAGCAGCCATAACAAGGCACGGCAAGCAGAAGATACATTAGCAGTCAATATTTGTATGTGTGACATACAAATACAGCTTTTCTTTTTTGTAAGCCTTGACAATAGCCATAGGGATATAAAATAACTTTCTGGAGCAGCTGGTACGGAAACTAAGTAGCACTCCCCAGCAGCACAGAACACAGGAACAAAATGACAATGGATTCGGCTACTGTCGTGCGTAGGACAGAACTGAACATTCAGTTCAATACTAAGAAGCAAACACCATTGTAATCATTGCCAAAGCACTCATTCAAATTGTACTATATACTATTCTAAATGACAAACGTAACATAACGTAAAGTTACTTACCCATCATTTGCTGTTTATTTGGTTTGGTTTCCCTCATCTGCTCTTCAACTCAAATGTGTTCTCAGCCAGGCCTTTTTGGGGGCTATCACTCCACCTAACCAGTACTTCGCTAAGTTACCATCTTCTGGCCAGATCTGATTTCCTTTCAAGCTCTTGACACCATCAGCTTATTTTTTCTTCTGGCTTACTATCTAGAAAATAAAAGATTTTTCCCCTTGTTCAGTACAGTACACAATAAATATTTGTTGAAAGAACAGGGCATGAATGCACAAACTCCTAATTTTAACACTATCTGTCCAGTCTTTCCGGACATGCATCTGATGAAGCTCAGAAAGCCATGTCACCAGATCCCTATTTTCAGGCACTTTATGTAATATGACCATGATTTTTTTTTCTTTTCATTCTTTTCTGTCACTCCTCAGGACTCTGTATTTCCCACCCATTTGTCATTGTCTTTGTATATCACTAGAGACTTGCATATTTGACACTCTCTCCATTTCTGTTCTCCACTCAGTCATTTGTTCACTCAGATTTTGTTTCTTTGTTTATTTCATATTTTCCTCAAGGACTATATCAAAACATAAAGCAAAGGAAAGTGTTGGCAGGCGTAAGTCCCCGCATATGTTCGTGGGTGGCAGGATCTCAAATGGGAACTGTTCCCACCCTTTGTTGCACCTTGGTTTCTACTTTGGTTCAAAATGTTTGAGAGGAATTTTTTTTTTAGGCAAAGATATCCTGATTGACGGGCAGTGTATGAAGTCCTGAAATTTACGTAAATATTTATTGAGCTATTTGTCTATGCAGCGCTCGCAGCTGGACAAGATGGGGAAAATGTAAACATAAGCTTCCTGTCTTTTAGGAACACAGAGAGTCAAAATTATGTGGCAATGAGTGAATAAATGCCAACATTGTGAGTGCCTAAAAAGGGGGGGGGTCACGTTACGTTTCCTTGAGCTCCCTTGTTGTGTCATTCATTAATAAATTAGGAGATAGTAACTTGTCCCAGAGAATTCTGAAACAACCTAGTTCATTGTGTGTGTTTAAGATATCATACCTTTCAAAACTCATTGAGGACAACATTTTGGGAAACTGAATTTGCTGCTCTTATTTTTCCCCCCAAATATGTTAAATTACATTATAATGAATCGAGCTTCTTCTCATGATTGGATTCTCCAGTAATTTCCCAGGTCTCCTTCCTTCATCTTCATACTTAAGGAAGGCAAAGCACTTCTCTAACCTTTTTCCTCTATTAGAAAACATGAATTTAATGGCAAGTGCCATTCCATTCCAACTTTTGCAGGGAAATGGGGTGCTGGGAATTGAATCTAGGGCCTGGTGCATCATTAAATGTCTACTCCACTGCTGAGCAATACTCCAGGGTTTTATTACCTTTGACCTGATTTATTTCTTCTTTCAGACTGTTAAATAAATTTGCAACTCATTACCACTGCACATGATTAACTACTACGGAAACCCAGTTGATTCAAATTATCTAAGATGAGCATTAGTAACTTTGTTGGTATCTTGCATTTCTTTATCGTGGACACATGGGGGCACCAGATTTATAGAAATAGGAACATTTTTCCTTAGTACATTGCAAACAAATGTGTTGTGGTTAGTTGCTTTTTATTTGTTTTTGTTTTTGTTTTTTTTAAATCAAATCAATGTATTCAGTATCAAGCCTTGGCAATCTGTAAGGACAAAATAATTAGCAATTCAGCAAATACCAATCTGTTCTTGCTTTTATTATTTTTTTTTCCTTTCAATCTTAAATGAGAAATCCTATTTATTAGCAATGCAACCCATTCTGGATCCTAGTATGATTTATATTGCTAGGAATAGAAATTATCTTTAACAGTTTGTTACTGATTGACAAGAAAAGTGAGAAGATCCTTCTTTTTTTTTTTTTTGGTCGGTCGTGGGGCCTGAACTCTGGGCCTGGGCGCTGTCCCTCAGCTCTTCAGCTCATGGCTAGCGCTCTATCCCTTGAGCCACAGTACCACTTCTCACTTTTTCTGCTTATGTGGTACGGAGGAACTGAACCCAGGGCCTCATGTATGCTAGGCAAGCATTCTACCACTGATCTACCTTCCTGGCCCAAGAAGATCCATTTTTAATTTAACAGTAGTTCAAGACAGTTGTCAAGGCTGGGACCAGTGATTTACACCTATAAGCCTAACTATTCAGGAGGCTGAAATCTCTGAGTATCATCACTCAAAGTCACCTTGTGCAGAAAAATTTTGTTCCAGCTAACAAGCAAAAAGTCAGATGGAGCTGTGGTTCAAGTGGTCAAGTGCCAGCCTTGAGTGAAAAAGTTAAGCGATAGGATTAACAGTGGCTCTGAGCTCAAGCCCTAGTACTAGGAACACAACAAAATTGTCAACACTTTTTTAGAAATGGAAGTATCTTCATGAGGAATAATTAAAGTTTTTAATCTGTTGGTATTTGCACAGATTTTATTTTGTGCTTGGTTTCTTTGTATTTAAAAGGTAAAAATATTAAGCCCTCATTTTCTTATTGTTCCAGAATGGATTGTCTCCATTGCACATGGCCACCCAAGGGGACCACTTAAACTGCGTCCAGCTTCTCCTCCAGCATAATGTGCCCGTGGACGACGTCACCAATGATTACCTGACGGCCCTCCATGTGGCTGCCCACTGTGGCCATTATAAAGTCGCCAAGGTCCTCTTGGATAAGAAAGCGAACCCCAATGCCAAAGCCTTGGTGAGTGGCTCTGCCAGTAAGTCCAGCCTAAGTGGTACTGCAGACAATGTGTTATTTTGGGGGTGAAGAAGTTGCTTTTACAGAGGTAACAGTGTAAACTGTAAGGTAAATGTCATCAATTTTTCCACATGGTCTCAGAAATCTGCAGAACCTCCTATCTCTGTTGTAAACAAGCTGATAGAGCTCAACTCTTTGCTCTTTTCGGGTGACACTTGTGATTGTTTTATGTAATGAAACACAAAGAATACAGTTACAAAAAACTGAGGTGGCTTGTTATAGGTAAGGGTAAAATTTTATGAGTTAATTTATTTTTTGCCAGGTGCTGGTGGCTTACTCCTGTAATCCTAGTTACTCAGGAGGTTGAGATCTGAGGATCATGGTTCAAAACAAGCCTAGGCAGGAAAGGCCATGAGACTCTGATCTCCTATTAACCACCAGAAAACCAGGAGAGGAGCCATGGCTCAAAGTGGTAGAGTACTAGCCTTGAGCAAGAGTTCAGGGACAGCACCTAGGCCCTGAGTCCAAGTCCCATGACTAATAAAAACAACACACACACACACACACACACACACACACTTTTTTCTGAGCTCTAAAAACATGAAGCCAGATGATCAAGAAGCTCTGTCTAGGAATTGGTGAGTAAAACCTACATTGTGTTAACTTTGGACGTTATTCAACTATTAATCCCTGGTATTAATGCCTTTTGTCTTTGTCAATCCCAATTTTGCTCTAATTTGCAATCTTCACTACTAAATTGACCTGCACTTGTATCCTTAACTGTGCTATACTTTGGTTTTACCATTGGAAAAATAAATAGTCCCAATTTAGCAAGCTATTTTTATTTCACAATAAGCACCCATACTTTGGGGAAAAAAATAAGTCACTAATTTTAGGGAAAACCTAAGTCTTCTAGCAATTTTGTGGTAAAGGCTAGGATGGGATCAACCCTTTCAGGAACACCTCAACTTCCTTTCAATGTCTGTTCTGAATGGGTCCATAGCACCTCTGGCATTTTATGAGCTTGGACATTCAAGGGGAAGAGAGGCAGCAAGGAAACAAAGAAAGGAAACTAAACTCCCTGGCCCAGACAACTCCAATGCCACGTTCGGGTCGGTCTATATCCAAGCAGCATTTCAAGACTTGTGGACCTACCCAGTATGGCAAACGTGTCTGAATTCTCAGAAGGGAGGAAAAGAAATTAGCAACCAATGACTCATTTTCCCCTACAAGTTAAAAACAAAAAAGCCCTAAAACAGGGTGTGGACTGATGGCTCTCTTGTCCCTATGACTAAAGATTTCACCGTGTATGGAGGTCATAGCCAGGCATCACGTGGTGGACTAAGGCCAGAGAAATGGCCTTGAGAACCTCCTTGGTCCCTGAAGTCATTGCCACTTAGAATAACTTTGGTCCAGTATTTATGGTAGGGCCTGGTACGTTGTACTCTATGAACAGCTGAAATACAGAGTTATGGAGCCATAGCTGTTGGGCAGAACAATTTGGTAGGCAATTTGGTTAAAAAAAAAAAAAAAAAGCAGGTTGTTTCCTTAGATGGAATATGAAAGCAAGTAATCCAGGAATCATTCATTCTGCTTCCTTGGAGTACCCATTTAAGTCTCCACACTGGAGAAAAAACCATCAAGCATTTTAGAAGTGGTCTCACAGTTTCTCAATTCTATAGGCTTTGGTGGATATGAGGACACACTTTTACTATGCTGGGTTTTTTTTTTTTTTTTGTTACACAGCTGATCATTTTTTTGTTGTTTTTTACAGTTT